GGTGCATCTGTGACCAAGACAGCAAGTCTTTGTGATGTATCAAGAGCCACGGTATCCAGGGTAATGTCAGCATACCACCAAGAAGGACGAACCACATCCAACAGGATTAACTGTGGACGCAAGAGGATATATGTCCATTACCTTCAGCTGCAAATCTAAAGCTAGCTAAAATAACAAAATTAGCATGTATACTAACATTAGCTATTTCTTGCAGCATTCCCGCAAAAACCTTCACTCATCATTATTGCCAGGTTTTCAATTGCACTTTAGATTTATGCTTTTGTGGATTTTTTTTTTTTTTTTTTTTACTTTTAGCAGACATCATTATCCAGATTTTAAAGAACTCCAAATGCAGCTTCTTCTTTCTACATTGGATCCTAAAAAAGTTTATATCTTCTATTGTAAACTACAGTTGTCTTAGCTGTGCAATATAATCTGTGCATTTGCAGGTGTTTTATATGTAATAAACTGGAATCAGAGACCACTCTCCTAAAAATAAAACAAATGTTTACAATTGAGTGAAGAAAAGACTTCTCACTAATAGCAAACATACAGTGAAACTGCATTCACACTAACAATAAATGAAAATGATACATACAGAGGTAGCCACTTCACTCCTTCAAAAAAGCATTACCCAAATCTCCACACACCCATTTGACAGAGACCCATACCAATGAGGCAATTCAAACAACTTCATGTGGGATAAACAGTCTTTGGCTCCTCTTTTAAAATCCTACATAAAAGGACTTGGAAAAAATTAGATGCATACCCCCTCTAGCAATCTGCATCATGTAGTCATCTGTTTGTTGCTGATTTCCTTGAGCGACCACCACAAGTACAAAACTGCAACCAAAACAAACGCTTGCAATAGCTGTCATCTGGTATGTTAAAGGAAGACAGGTCCACTCTAAATCCACGCCTTGTTTTATACTCTTCCTCTAAAAAATATACTAAAGAGATTGTTGCAGCATCTGTACCTCTCACTAACGTCTCTTCAGCGGGGAGCTTGCAACAGTTCTCACAAGTACATTCATTTCCTGAACAGTGCTTTTCCAGGAGCAGCTTAAAAAACTTGTAAAATTACAGTTTTAGCTGGGCTCATCTGCCAGTGACCTGCATCAGTTGACCTGTGGTCACCCAAAGCCTCTCAGAAAAGCATCATTTGTCGTTAACTGGCTTAGTTCAGATTCCCCACGGATCTTCAGAAACAGCAGTTTGTTGGCAAACCAACATTTCACAGCTCAAGGTTGTCACAGTTTCCTGTGTGGTGTGAAGCTTGTCAGTTTGATCAAACGGAGTTCATGCTTCTGGTAAGTGACATGTTTGCTCTCTCTGTCAGCAATTTCACTTAAATGTCTTCTGGTAATTTAGATAAACAGTTTATTTGGGGATTGGTGAATTTTTTTTTTTGAAGACTAAAAGTTTCATATGCAATTTAATGTAACTTAATTCGTTTTTCTCGCTTCCTCGTGATCTTTCCCACTTACATGTTTAAACCAAAGTTAAGGTTAGGGGTTAGTTGAAACTACTGAACCTAAAATACACAACAGTAAAATGTATTTTAAGGGCATATTTATCTGTCGTAAAAAATCTCTTCAGTTTTTTTAAGAAAGATATTACCGAAATATATGTATAAAACTGATATTAACGTATGAATAAGTAGTTTGACTATATAGAAAGTAAAAAACTTACAGGTAACAGATTAGTTTCCTTTAGAATTTGGAAAATACGTGAAAGCTTTGTTGAAACATTAAGTAATTTGCTGAAACATTAATAAAGTCTGAGTACTTAATGTAATAGATTATGGCCAACATTTGCTGTATTTCATTGAGCAGTAAAACTATTTGATGGAGTAGTTTTGTATTAATAGCCCAACTCTGATGCTATTTAAATGTGTCATTGTCATGTAATGCATAGAAAGAATTTCTTTCCTCTCTTCTTCCACTCACATCAGTGTTTATGTTTGCAGCTTTTCAGTAGCTTGTCCAGCAGTCCAAATGTCAAACCCAGTGGTCACCAATCAACCTGGTGCAGGGAGCTATGGGACGAATGTCCAGACTGGAGATTGGAGCACAGGCTTGTGTTCCTGCTTTAATGACTGTTTAGTCTGTGAGTGCAATCAGATCGTTTATCCATGTACCAAATTTAGGGTTTATAAGGGTAAAAAAAATACTGTTTTGTCTGTCAAAATGTCTCAATAGAATATGTGTTTTCAGGTGCCCTTGGTTGTTTCTGTCCAATTGCTCTGAGCTGCTACACAGCAAATAAGTATGGCGAAAACCCCTGCCTAGGTTGTGTCCCAGGAGGCATGACCGCCATGAGGACTCATATGAGACTGACGTATGGTATTCAGGTACAAGATTTTCCAATTCTTATCTCACGTGAAGAAAGGCTGCCTTTTGCAAAATCTTAGATATTAAGAAATCCTGTGATTTCATTAACAAAGCAAATAGTGGATTTTCCCTGAAATTATGAAAGCTGAAGTTGCATACATTTCTAAATACAAGTTCCCTATAGTGAATTTTTCTTGTCATTATTTAACCACAGGGGACGGTATGCAACGACGCCCTCATGACCTTTTTCTGCGGACTTTGTGAACTGTGCAGGATGGCGCGAGAAATTCGCATCAGGAATGGAGACATTTTACAGTAACGTGATGATAATTTAGGAAGCTGTGCGCTTATACAAAATACTGAAGATTTAATAGAAATGAGAAGGAAGAGGAGTAGCCAATAAAACTTGCAATTCAGTGAAATAAGTGTATTTCTGCTCATATTAAAAATCTGCTGTCTTGTATATAACCTGCTTTTACCTAAAACTTCACTTATTTGCAATTGTCATGTTTCTCTTTGTTTGAAATGTTTGTGGATGACATTAGATAAAAACCCATTTCCAGCCACTGTTCTAAAATATAGGCGGCTCAGTTTGACAAGATTAAAAAACAGTGAGTACAATATCCTAGTTTGTGTTTTAATTTTTTATGATTTTTTTAAAGGCAATGTGGGATTGTGATTGGGTCTTTTGCATTAAGCCCTACAAAAAACAATGAACAGTGCAGAATTTTCATCTGTAAATACCTGTAATACCTGTAAATAACTTCAGTTTGTGGCATATCTGCTTATTTAAAGAATGAATTAGATCAGCACCTAAAGAAAAAAGTATTTTAAAATGAATAATCTCAAACATAGACTTAATAAATTGTCATCTACATAAATCTCTTTTATTTTTCTGTATTCTCGATTCTCACACTTGATCATTTCTTTCAAATAAGTTTATTACAAAGGTTCAAATTAAATTTTATTTTGTACAGTACTGTAAAAAGATATTTATACCTTACAGATTTCTGTTTTTGCTTCTTAGTCTCAAGATCATCAAACGCAATAGCAGTGTTAAAATTAGGATTTTGTGTAGCTGCTCAAACCAAGCTGGCATTTGTTAAATAAATGTTTGCCCCCTAAACCTAATAATTGGTTGTTTCTAATCTCTTCTTGAATTTCTTTAGATTGGTGCATGATGTGTTGCTTTTTGAGATCTTTTAGAATACTTCATGTTGTCAGACAAGTCCTGTTTAAGTGATTTTTTTTTATTCTGTAGGTCAGAGTCTAATCAGGACAGGGTGTGACCAGTGAAACTGAACCAAATATTGTGGTTAATCAGAGTTAATTCAAGATTTAATTGCATATTCACACAGAGCCAGTTTGATTTGTTCAGTTCAAAACTACTTCATTAATCGCAAAGGTAAATGTTGTAACTAAAGTTTCTTCAAAGAGTCATAGTAGATGGTGATAGTTGTGGGAGGGAAGGATCTCCTGTAATGGTCTGTATCACAGCTGATCTGAAGAAGCCTCTGACTAAAGACACTTGATTATTGTATTGTAGTCATGTGAATAGGTCACTCATGGTTGTCCATTCCCTGCAGAAACGTGTTTAATTATGTGAAATCTGATGGTTTGACAATAAAAGCAAAAACAGAAGTCTGAAAGAGGTCAAATACTTTTTCAAAGCACTGTACAAACCACCAATATACAATAAAGAACCAGAGTATTTTATAAAATGCCAGTGTTTTGAAAATGTGACTCCTTACAAAAAGCATAATTACATCAAACACTAAAGCATACCTATGTAAGGCTTATTATTAATTCTTTAGCCTATTCCCTCAATTTAACTACAAGTAAATTATGTGGAATAAATGGCCCTGAATTCACCTCTCAAAGCCAGTTGCAGTTTGTTTAAATGCCAGTGTTGGATCTCAACAATCTGAATTCAAACCTGAAGAAAAATGAATAATACTGGCAGAAGACAAATCAAACATTTTGATCTAAATTGCTCATAACTCTATCATTATCCCAGGTTAGCAAAGTTTGGCAAATTAGTGAGCTGACGTGTGAGAAGTACAACTCTCTGTTGAATGCCTTAAAGCAAACCTTTTGCATTATTCAATATTATTGTTGGAACCTAATTTGATTACATAATTAATTAGATGGAGTCATCAAACATCTAAACATAAATAGATAAAACTATCTATTTCAGACAAACTATTTCTGTTACTATGAACTACATGTTATGTCTCAGAGTTTTACAGCACATGTGAATGGTAGTCATCCACAAAATTACTCAGAGTAAAAAAAGTATTTGATTAAACGGCCACTTACGCACTTGAGTACTTGAGTAATAGTGTTTAATCGGATGTAAACCATGGAATTGATGTAATCATACAGACAAAATATAAAATTGATGACACTACATGAGGCTTCACAGTGGTGCAGTGGGTAGCACTGTTGCCTTGCACCATGAAGGTCCTGGGTTTGACTCCCAGCTGGGGGGCTGTCTGCAGGGGGTTTGCATGTTCTCCCTGTGCATGCATGGGTTCTCAACAGGTACTCTGGCTCCCTTCCACAGGTTTTGGTTGTTTGCGATGGATTGGCACCCTGTCCAGTACCCCACCTCCTGCCCATAGACTGCTGGAGATAGGCACGAGCTTCCCTGTGACCCACTATGGAAGAAGCGGTATAGAAAATGACTGACTGAAACTAAATGAAGTATTTAGCTTCATTCAAATTCCCATAACCCCTCATCAGCTTCTTTGTCTCCGCTGATAAAACCATCCCCACCACATGATGATCACCATTTGATCCCATTTAGAGTGGGATGGTGAGTAGATTCAGTTTTGCACCACAGTTAGTTGCCCTACATGCCCCACAGTTGCATGTAGGGCAAAGAGTTTGTTTTTAGACTCATCGGACCAGAGCACATTTTTTTACACTGCCATATCCCCAGTGCTTTTGTTTGTTTTAACAATGGCTTACTTTTTACTAGGTTTTTTTGAGTGCATCTAAAAATGTAGTCATGTCAACAGATTTTCCCACCTGTGCTGAGGATCTCTGCAAGGACTCCAGAGCAATAAAAGGCTTGAGATATTTAAACAAAACCCTGCTTTGAAATTCTCTAAAACTTTATCTGTGATATGTGTGGTCAAACACACACATTTGGTCTTTATTGTGTTGTTTGATAACAGATGTTCTCTAATAAACCTGAGGTGTTCAGAGAAAAGTTGTATTCATACTGAGATTAAAATGCATAGAGATTGACTTAATTGATTGGACAATAGCTGGAAGCAATTGGTTTTAGAGGATTTTATTTAGAAATCCACGAGTAAATGTTGCTGAATAGAAATAGCTGCTTCACTTTTCAGATTTTTTTAAATACAAATATGAAACTCATGTTCACTCCACTGCACAGTTAAACAGTATGCACTATTTAGACTGGTTATGAGATAAAATACACTGATGTTTGTGGTTGTAGTGTGTGATATAGTGTCTAATTTTTGGAAACATCCGTATTTTTGCTATGAAAAAAAAGCACCACGGTTTTACAACATAAGCAGTAGGCACACTGACATTTCCATTAAAGACACGAGTGGCACCAATTTCTCTTTCTCCTTAGTTCCGCTGGGGGTCTTGCGCATACGCCCTTACGTCACTCTCCTGTGATTGGCTGGTTTGTTCGTGGCCTGGCAACCAGAAGCGGCTTAACCAAAACAGACAGACCCCTTCACAGCAACTTGTTAGCGGTGTTCTGCAGTTAGCTAGCTGTGAAACTTCAGCTCGTCATATTCAAACATGTCTACGAGGACCCTACCGCTGCTCTTTATCAATCTCGGTGGAGAAATGCTGTACATCCTGGACCAGCGGCTTCGAGCTCAGAATATACCCGCTGACAAAGCTAAGAAAGGTAGCGAGCTTAGTAGCTATTCAGCTAACAACACTAATGGCACTCTGCTGCAGTAAAACGTAGACGATACAGTACGATAACTTTACTTGTCTGTTCATTAAATGGTCAGTTTGTTTTTAAGTTAAGGTGATACAGAAAATATTGATCAACAGAAAATGAAGAGGAAACCTTACAGGATCAATTAGTCCCCCCTCTTACCCTCCCTTATGGTTACTTTTAGACTGGGGTTTCACAGCAAATGTTACTTTCTACTGGCTATAAATAAAAACTATTCCTACATAATGACAGGAAATTTTTTATAAAAATCTTGATTCTCATGAGGTTATTTTTGTATTTTCTTTTGACTCGTAAAGTTTCCATTGTAGCTGCCTGGATAGAGGAAGACAGAAAGAGAGGTATTCAGTGTAATCATGCACTTGTGCACTTGTTGCTCTTTGCTCTGCTTTGGCCTAGCTGGGTTATATGCGCTATTTAAATGACAAAACTTGAAGAACGAACGATCAGGTGCATCTTGATAAATTATAATATCCTCAAAAAGTTAATTTATTTCAGTAGATCAATTCAAAAAGTGGAGCTCATTCATTGCACACAGAGTGATGTATTTCAATCGTTTATTTCTGTTGATTTTGATGGCTATAGGTTACAGCTAATGAAACCCCAAATCCATTTTCTTTGGAAATTTAAACTATTACATAAAACCTATACAACCATAAACAGCAGGGGTAACTGTAGTCTAATGGGGATTACAAATCAAAGCCCATTTAAGAAATAAAATTCACAAAGTGGTGGACTGTGGCTGAGAGTCACTGCTTTAAGAGCCAGCACACACAGATATATCAAGGACATGCGAACCCAGAGCCTGAAATGCAGCAAGCTGGGGGCTGCTCCTAAACAACCTGGGCCAATTTTACACCTCAGCTGGGTGAGAAGCTGCAACGATGCAGTAATTCATGCACAAAATGCTCCAATCAAAAAACCGTAAACTATAGGTAGATTTACTTTTCAGTTGGATGGCATTTGTGTATTAGAAGTCCTCTTTTATTGGTCCTATTTTCAGGAGAACTGAAACAGAATTTTGGGTTTTCAATAGGAATAAGCCAAGATCATCATAATTAAAAAAAACAAAAACTCTTGATATATTTTTCACACTGTGTGTACCACATCTGTGGATGAGCTTTTGAATTAAATTGCTGAAATAAGTTTTAATGATTTTTGAATTTATTGAAATGCACCTGTAGATGAGATATATGCAAATAAATTGTTCAGAAATGCAGTGCGGTTGTTTTTGTCAGTCACATAAGTGGCCGAGTCACTTAAAGCTTGCATGCTTGTTACAAACCTAGTGTTATAGGAACCTGCATTGTGTACTGTACAATTTATGTTTTAACCTGTCACTGAAATTTGAAAGACTTCATAAGTTCCAACATTCCTTGTTGGCTTTTAATTGTTTTAAATATTATGCGACTTAGTACATATAACGTCGTCTTTATTTACAGCAAAAAGTATTCCTTTGGATTTCTGCATATGTTGTAGTCCTGTTCTACAGTAGTAATGTCTTTCTTTGTAATCGACAGGACAAGGCATGGGCTGATATCAGATTCTCATGGTAACCTTGATTAAAAATACCATGGTTTCACAATACTTACAAAGAAATGTAAATCAAAATTGTATAAATCATATAACGGAAAGCAACTATTATTCCTACTCCTGACAAAACGATATAACATTGATCATTACAGTTGTAAAAATGCTATTTTATTTATCGTTTAGATTTTTTTTCTTGACAGATTTAGGTAAATAGTCAGACTGCTCAGGCAGCCAGCCTGCATTCGGCTGCTTAACACATATGGCGCTTGTAGCTTACAAAATGTTTCAAAACAGCATTACTGCATTAAGACAGATGGGTGGTGTTCCTTTAGCTTTAACCCTATAAATGTCTGTACGTTTCATGACCAGACACATTTCCAAAGAGCCAAATGGATCTTTCTTATAAGCAAGGAAAGAGTGTAGGATCTTTTCTTGTAGCCAACTGACCAACAATGGGGGAGGAGCATAACTTACAGTGAGAGAAAATGTTGTTTTTTCCAGAATCTCCTGTGGTATGTTCTTAAAAGGACTTCAGACCACTGCAACATGACAAAAAATGTAAGCTATTTTGAAACTTTGACTTTAAACCATTATGTACCACGATACCCATTACTGGCCATGCCTCGACTGGACTAACGTTGTTTAACTATGTTTGTATGCATTTTTAAATCCTGTAATTAGATTTGGATTATTTTTCTAGTTCACTAGTGCTGCTGAATTGATTAAATTGCTTATATCACAGTGCAGATTACAGTTACGTACCACTTCTTCGCTCACTGATATTGCAGTCATTGGAAAAACTCAGTACACCCTAGTTGTTTTTTATATGGTCTTAGAGGGAAATTAGCATACTAGTGCTGCCTAATAAATGCATGTGGATGATTGATCATCATAGGCAAATGTGGCCACCTTTAAGGAAGCATAAACTTTAGCTTTTTCTGGTATGGGTTAACACAGTGCCAGTGTGGAAAGACATCACAGTGGGCCTTGGTGAAGCCGCCTATATTTCTGTGTAGGGTTACACGCCTATTTCCAAACAATTTGAAGTCCGTCATTCTACAGTGAAAAAAATGATCCCCAAGTGATCTAAATGTAGGCTGATGCCTTGGGCTTGTCATTAACTCTGCTTTTTACCAAGGTATATTAGAATCAAGGGCTACGGTTCTGAGGCCATTGGTCCATCAGCTGAAGCTTGGCTGAACCAGGGTCAACAACAGGGCAG